ATGACAGCATGCATGCATTCTGCTTTAGTGCAACAAAAATATTTACTCTTGCATAACTGGTTTCACATATCAGATGATTCCTGAGTTTGAAGCTGAGTGTCAGAAGGTTGCGGCTGATCAGGGACTTTCTTTACCTGCACAATTCTCAGCTCAGAAGCTTTTCAGTGACATCGGGCAGGCAGAATTCAACAAGCCGGTTCTTGATGCTGCAGCTGTCCTCCGCCGTCATGGTATGTTGCTTTTGTTTTGCGAGGTTTTGAATAAACCATTTATCCTTTTCTGTTGAATTGTTGATTTATCTCTTAAAGAACTAGTTCACCCAAAAATGAAAATTAGCTAAAAGTCAAGCCAGGTCCACCGTAAAATAACCTCTGAATCGTTTTTTTTTTTTTAACTGGTTCATTAAAACTATCTATCCGATTCAGGAAACTAATCAGAATTCCAATCACTTTTAGCGAGCATGAGGGAGGCGAATGGTAATAAAAATATAACCTACTTACTGCCTCATGTTCTTCATTTTATAGCATTGTATGCAATCTTTATTTTTGGTAATGCTTTTGACCCCCTTTTCTATTATTATTGTTATATATTTGAACAAATATGTGTCATATTAACAAACATTTGGACAAAGCTCATCCCACTTGCAAGAGACATGAATGATGCCTCAAATAGTGTAGCTGTTAAGGAGAGGTGTGCTATTACTTGCAATTTTTTTGGCGGATGATAAAACAGATGGAAGAAATCCATAGATTAAATTGGAGTGACCTGAGCGTTATCAAATTTTAAATTATTTGTTTGCCCTTAACTAGCGCACAGATACCTGTTTGCAGCACCTTATTACTACGGTTTCTCCAACAACAGACTGCAGGCCTACTGCAAGCAAAATCTGGAGATGAATGTTACTGTAGAGAATGTCTTACAGGTATATATCAAATATCATACACTACCAATCAAAAGATTGCGGCCAGTCAGAAATTAAAGGAATAGTTCACCTAAAAATGCAAGTTTGCTGAAAATGTACACGTCCTCAGGCCATCCAAGATGTAGATGGGTTTGTTTCTTCATCAGAACAGATTTGGACAAATGCAGTGAATGGGTGCCGTCAGAATGAGAGTCCAAACAGCTAATAAAAATATCACAATAATCCACAAGTAATCCACACCACTCCAGTTCATCACTTAATGTCTTGTGAAGTGAAAAGCCGTGAGTTCATTATCCATAATAATTACCCTTCCTCCAGTGAAAAACTCCATCTCCTGTTGTCCTCTCACATCAAAATCCATCAACATATTTGTTTTTAACTGTGCTTGATCTGTGCATATTTCTCTCCTGATTCAGACTAGATTAGTTTTTCACTGGAGAAAGCAGTGTTATGGATAGAGGACTCGTATTTTAGCCAGAGGCAATAGTTTGAAGTTAAAAACGTCTTGATGGATTTGTTTCTTACAAACACGCAGCTTTTTGCTTCATAAGACATTAATTAATGGACTGGAGTGGAG